AAAAAAAAAAAAAAGAATGAATGAATGAATGAATGAGTGTACACACACATATACAAATAAAACTCAAGAGCACAATGAACAAAAATATTTTACAGTAGTAGTTCAAGTAAACATGTTAACAGTATATATCTTAATCAATCTCTGCTTCCACTTTAACTCCTAACAAAAAATCTGGTACACTGAAGCCAAAAATATTTTTAAAAAGAAATAAAATAGAAAACCTTATCATAGAACTATCTTTGATCTCTTGAATGTCTTCTAAAAAGCCACTTCATTTTATGCCCTCAATTTTATCATGCCCTCAAATTTCTGCTCTAATCAATACTGTATCTCATTCATAATCAGCCCACACTTAATAATGTAGTTACCCAATCTAAAAGACAAATAACAAAATTAAATCATGTACATTCTCAATTCAAGTTTTTGCCACTGAAAATCAGTTTTGTAACATCAAATAGGAAGCTTTCTTGAGATCTGGAGTTAGATTTGGTTTGGGTTTTCAACTGTAAACACATGACTGGACCACAAATAGGAACCCAATATATACCTATTTATTGAATAAATGAGAATATATTACCAAAATCATTTTTTAAAGACTGGGGTGCTAGGTATAGTGGTAAGTTCATGTAACCCCAGCACTTCCGAGACTATCTGAGATAGGAGGAGTAAGAGTTCAAGGTGAGGGGCTGGAGAGATGGCTCAGCAGTTAAGAGCCCTGGCTGCTCTTCCAAAGGACCCAGGTTCAATTCCCAACCACATGGCAGCTCACAACTGTCTGTAACCCCTGTTCTGGAGGATCCAACACCCTCACATAGACATACATGTGGGCAAAACACCAATATACATAAAATCCAAATGAATAAATTACTTAAAAAAAAAAAAAAAGAGTTCAAAGAGAAGGCTAGAAAGATGGCTCAGCAGTTAAGATCACATAATGTTCTTCCAGAGAAACCAGGTTCAAATCCCAGTACCCACATCAAGTGATTCACAACCATCTTTAAGTCTAGCTCCAGGACATCCAACACCATTGGCCTCTGAACAAACACACAAACACATGAACACACATACCCCTACACACACCTACATACATACATGCACATAATTAAAAATAATTTTAAAAGCCAGGTGATGGTGGTGCACACCTTTAATCCCAGCACTTGGGAGGCAGAGGCAGGTAGATCTCTGTTGTGTTCAAAGCCTACTCTACATAATGAGTTTCCATGACAGCCAGGACTACATAGAGAATAAAACAAAGCAAAATAATAATAAAAATTTTAAAAATTGTGAAACAAGAGTTCCAGGCAAGTTTGAGTTACATAGTTCAAAGCCAGCCTGATCTAAACAATGAGACCATTTAAAAAAAACTAAGTAAGTGTCCAACGCCAAAGGTGTAGCCCAGTGATAGAACACTTGTCCTTGTCCAGTATACATGAGGGTAAGACAGAGCCCTACTAGTAAATAAGTAAGAGTATGTATATTCACAAACATCCACTAAACTCATATGTGCACAGACTTTTACCACAAAATAAATAAATAATAAAGGTTTTTTCTTTGTTTTCAGCTTTTTGAAATTAATGTAGCTAAACCAGAAATAACCTACAGAACATTAACAAGAAAATCCTGCCCAAAAGTTAACTTGTGGAAAACACCATATGTATTTCTACTTACTCAAATCATCTGATGTATCTTCAATTCCTGAAGCACTATCATCAGAATCACCAACATTATCTGTCCGTGCCTGCTGCTTCTGAGATGGCACTAAGTTTTCCAGGGTGGATTTTTCTCCCTGTAGACCTTCACTATTCCTTTTGTCCACAGAAACAAAGGAGCTTGCAAGTTTTTCCCCAGTCTCTTGGGACTCTGTCTGTTTCATGTTTTCTTTCAACAGTAAACTAGGTGCATTTTCTGGTTCTAAAGGTGAGCTGGGTGTCGTTGGTAATTTCATCTGAGAAGTGGGTATATTTTCTTCTTTCTTCTGTGAATTAAGTGCTTTTTCTGTTGTTGCTGCTGCTGTTGTACAGGTTATTTTTTCTGCCTTTACTGGTAAATTAGGTGACTTTGGTGATTTTTCTACCTTTGCCTGTAAACTAGGTGCTTTTTCTACTTTTGCCTGTGAACATCCCTTCTGGGCTTTCATGGGTGAATTTGGTATCTTTTTCACTTTGCAATGACTTTGATCTCGAAGTACTAACCCCAAATCTTTAGGGCCTGGAACACTGGCAGCATTTACTTGACATGATTTAACTTCTGTTTTTTCTATACAAATATCATTTTGCTTGGTTTTTTTACTACTATTTCTATTCAGAGAGCTGGTCCCAATTTCGGTCACGGACTTATCATTTCTAGGCTTCAAGGTTTGATTAGTTATAATTTTAACTGCTTTGCTTTCTTCACAAATAATATTCTTCTTTGGTTCATGATTTTCGCTTTTAGAAGTCTTGGGCTCTTCCATTATTTGAAAATCTGGTTCTTTCCAATTGTGATACTGTAAAATGGCAGATCTCAGGTATATGAACTGCTCCAAATCTAGTTTAGGCAAGCAAACTATAGGGTTTAAAAATAAAAACGAAAATTTGTTATTTAAAATGCAGAAACACTTTTAGTCATTCGTCAATTTAAAAAATTCAAAATTTGTTCTCAAAACTAAAGAAACATTTTTCAGAAAGCTATATGGAAAGGGCTTAAATCCTCATTTATCAAAAGTCAGAGGTAGGCAGATCTCTGTGAGCTTCAGGCCAGCCTAGGTACACACCTAGTTCAAAGCCGCCCAAGAATCAGTCTGTCCCAAAAAACAAAACACCCCCCCCTCCCCGACACACACACACACACAAAGGGACTTTTTACAAAAACAAAGTTACTTTCCATTGCTTAATGAGAATTTCCAATAATAAATGAGTAAATATTTGCACACACACACACAAAAAAAACCTGGCCAGGCAATGGTGGCACACACTTTTAATCCCAGCACTCCTGAGGCAGAGGCAGGTGGGATCTCTTAGAGTTTGAGGCCAGCCTGGTTTACAGAGCAAGTTCCAGGAAGGGGGG